GGCGCTGACATATATTAGCTAATATCATTTTAATAGTAGCGCTTACTCCCCCACCCCCAGGTAAGACATTTTGATCACGTGGATGACAATCATTTGTCTTTTTAGGTATCAACAAAGCCACAAGCGAAAAAAAAGAATTAATTTTATTAATAAAATCATACATTTTAAAAGCAACATTGGAGTAAAAAATTTTCCTTTATAATATATTATGATCTCTTGGAATTCCTGGGTATAATTTACATTGGCTATTTCTTTGACAAAACAACCTATTTGGTTCTGAGTGTAATAACTCTTACTTATTTGATAATTACAAACAATGCATTCTGCTAAAGGAAATCTAAAGAACAAAACTCAAGGATTCTTGATGATTTCTCTCTTCTCAATCACAACAAAATTGTCCTCTTTTTGAAAAAATATTTAAGGAAATTAAAGACTAGTGCTGTAATCCAAAAAAGGAAAAAGTATGGTTGCAAAACTGGTCACAAAGGTAATTGCAACCACTTTTTATATGCTGTAAATACAATTACTACCATCATCATAATTTACAGCACTAGTCTTTAAAGGAAATGTATATCAGATAAAGAATGATTAATTATAGCATTTATGTATATGAGAATGTGAGAACTAATTGCCATATCATCCTGTAGACAAAAAGTGTAATACAATTTTTTTGTAAATGACAATTGGCTTACATGTAGATCATTCCCGAATTAAAACACTTACATTCAAAATTATAAAAATGCAGATCTTTCACTGAAGCCATTATGATCATGTTAAATAATTAATCATTGTTAATTTAATAAATAATAATTTGCAACAAAAATAACTGCCATCAATAGAAATTGCAACATTCTTGAGCACACTGTCAAATTATTGCCAACCTTTATTGACATATCAAAAAATTTGATCATTATAATTGACACCAACCACTAATTTTTCACTGCTGGTGTAAACTTGCTTGAACTTTCCAGGAATTTGAACCTATTTTTTAAAACAATAACTAAATATAAATACTAAGGTCAAATTTAAAATGGTACTGACCAGTTGATACCACCCATTTAAAGATATCTTGATTACTATTAACACCTCAAATGGTCCCATCAGAGGCTACTGACACATTGGGCAACCCATCAGAAACTTCAACCCATCTACCATTAATATTACTGCCAATTCAGTAAAAGTTCTTACCTATATGATTGACACCCCAAATGTGATCTTTATTAGCAACTGTAAAAAAAAAATAATTAATTTAGCCAAATTTGTGATTTTTGACAGCTGTAAGTAAAGCTTACAAAAATTACCTGATATTTGGACTAAAGAACCCTCAACCTGCATCCTATAATATACAGCAAAATCAAAAGTTAACAGAAAACAAAATGAGACTAAGAAAGATTAGAGGTTGGAATCGTCCAAAAAATCCTTAGTCGACTACTAGTTGGTCAAAATTTCTTTTAGTCGACTAAATTTTTTTAATACTAGTGTGTAACCATTTGCTTTGCAAAATGGTCACACACTAGTCACGGGAATAACATCCTATTTAATTAGAATATTCATTCTGTTTCATTATTATTAACTTTTTTTTTAATTTTCAGATTACAAATTCATCTCCATTTGAATCTTTAATTTTCTCGAAATACTTCCATACGAAGCTATATGTTATAATTCGTTTTTTTAAAGGTCTGGAACCACTGCTTGAGCTCGAAGCCAACAAATTGTTGGAATGATTTGACCTTGTGTCAATGTTTATTATTTCGCATGGATAATTATCTCCAACACCAGCACCAACACCACCATTATCATCTTCTTCATAATATTGATACTCCGCATATTTATTTTTATTAAATTTTTTTGTACCACAAAAAACGTTTTCATTTATAATTGGCCAGACAATAATTATAATTAGTCGACTAAATAATTGACTAAAATAGTCGACTAATTAGTCGATTCCAACCTCTAAGAAAGATGGATGGCAAGAGAAATGGTTACCTACCATTCCATGCAAAAATGTTATCTTCATCATTATAGCCCAAATAGTTCCATCAACACCAACACCAACATTTACAACTGAGTCAACAGCTAGTTCCCAATGTCAATTGTAGAATCAAAAAATCTATAGAATTAAAGGGAAAATGAGTATTCATGTCAAGAATGTATCACACAAATAGAAGAGAAGTACAATAAGAGTTTAAAAGTTTGTGGAGATGATGAATTTTATATATGATTGAAAAAATAGAACATCCTTAGGATTTCCATTCAAATAAACAAATAAAACAAACAAAACAAATGAATCAAACAAAATGAATGAATCAAATAAAACAAATAAAATGAATAATTCGAATAAAATGAATAATTTGAATAAAGTGAATAAGACAAACAAAATGAATAAAATGAGTAATTCAAATAAAGCTAATAAAGTGAATAGAATGAATAATTCAAATAGAACAAATAAAGCAAATAAACAAATAAACAAATAATTCAAATAAGAATTTGTATTATGAATAGGAACTCTAAACATGCAAATTTTTGTGGTGAATCTATGAATATGTAATGATCTGACCTGTAACTGACCAGCTGTATCTAAACATGGCATTATGTATAAAATTCAATCATGATCTCCATACCATTGTTATCATGGTATAAAATTATAAATTATGTATGTATTTAGAAACAGGATCCTTCCAGCATCTCTACTTTGTAACATATTTGCTAAACTAAGCTATAAGTTATATGATTTTTTTGAAGTTATTATGTATATTTTTGTGTAGTTAACAAATTTAGAATATCTGAAATTTTTGGGACAAATATAAACCAAAAAACTGAACCATTTGGAGCTTTACACTTGATATTAATTACAAATGTATGTGAGTATTATCCATGAAATTGTTAAATCCATAGATGCTTAAATACTTGTTATTTTGACCCTTTTTGTTAATACTGTGTTTGTTTTAATATGCAAATTTTTCTAAAAAAAATATCATAATAATTGTATCAATCCTAGGTTTGTTGTGTTTTATCAATCTTTTGATTTTATTAATATTAATCTTTATAGTTTTAATCACTTTGTTATAACCAGCCTTTTCTATCAAAAATTTGCTGTTGCACAGCATAAAAAAGATCTGCATTCATCTGCATTCAATTTTGTCACTATGTGATAAACGAATGTCCATTATGCTGGCAGAAGCTGGAGTCGATCCTGAAAATTTTGATAAATATGCTAAATTTCCAGAACTTACTCAAGCTTCTAATGAAATTAAGAAGAAGCAACTCATACAATGATTAACCAATACATTTAAGACTCCTAATACTCTTAAACACTTCTCCTTAGATGAGGGACTTAGAAGAATTCAAAGTATCAATACTACTAAAATTCTAACTATGCAGGATGATTATGATGTTGAGCATGAGAGCCTCTGAAGTTACTACTCTTTGTATTATCCGTTGTAAAGAAGCCAAGCTTTGAGTCTCAAACTCGCCTGATGAATCAAACCTTCCAGAATGGTACAAACCCGGTTATTCTTGGTATTGTACAGGGTATATTAAGAATAAGGGAGAAAAGAAGGCTAATCCTGAGCCTTGACAATTCCTTTCCATGGAATTGCCATAACACCTAAAATTGTTAAAGCTTACACGAAAGAACTTTTAACACAAATTTGCTGATATTTATCCAGGTGCCAGTGAAAAATTTCATGCATCAGAAAGTTGGTTCTATGGCTTCCTTAGAAGGTATAATTTTGCAATGAGACGTAAAACAAAGATTGATCAGAAGCTTCCTCCTCATATTAACATCAAAATTCTCGAATTTCAACAATTTATTATTAAAAAACAAAAACAATTTGAATATGAAATTTCAGAAATTGGAAATATGGATAAAACTCCTGTTTATTTTGATATGGTTTGGAAATTTAACAATAGATAAACATGGTGCAAAAACTGTGCAAGTTCAAACAACTGGAAATGATAAAAACCATTTTACATGTGCCCTTACAATTCTTGCAGATGATACAAAACTGCCACCAATTGTTATTTTCAAAGGTAATTGAATTCCAAAGAATTTATCTTCTCAAATAATTGTGTTAATAATTGTTATTTTTAAAGGTAAATGAATGCCAAAGAATTTACCTTCTCAAATCATGGTACTAATGCACCCAAAAGGGTAGCTTGGCTTGATAAGGTTTGGAAGAGAAGACCTGGAAATATAATTACAAAAAAAAAAAGCTTTATTTGTTATGGATAGCTTTGAAGGTCACAAGACAGATTCTATCAAAAAAATTGCACAAAATGAAAACACTGATTTAGCAATCATTCCAGGTGGTCTTACCTCTGTTGTTCAACCACTTGATGTTTGTATTAACAAACCATTTAAAGATAGACTATGTGAAAAGTGGAATACTTGGATGAGTTCAGGTAATTTCACCTATACAAAAAATGGAAATTTAAGAAAGCCTGAACATAATGTCATTTGTAAATAGATTCTGGAGGTTTGGGATGAAATTCCAAAAGAAATGATTGTGAAATTGTTTAAAAATTGTGGTATTAGTAATGCAACTGATGGATCAGAAGATCTTTTTTTTGGGCAAAATGATGGGGATGAAAATGAAAATGAGGAAGATGAAGGTGAAATATTAAATAGAGGTGATAATTCAGTTGATGAATTAGATGAATTAGAAAAGGAGTCTGGTGATTCTGGAAAGAATAGTCAAAAATAAAAAATTTCTTACTTTTTATTTATTATATAAAATAATTTGAAATATATGTAGTGCTTATATTTATTTTTCATTGCAAATTCATACTGGTGCTTATATTCCAGAGAATACAGTAAATAATTTTGCTATTTTGACCAATAAAAATGTTTTCACTTGACAAATCACATGAAGATCTTCATTTAAAATTTTGGAATGTTGATGGTTGGCACCATAGAGATATAAGAAATGTGTACTTTTATGAATTAGTTTTTTTTGTCCAAAGTGGGGGGATAGAGGTTTTATTTATACGTTTTTATAGTAATTTATTAGACTACTAGTATGACACAAATTCAAGTCAATTGTAGTTCAAAGCACAATGCAAATGCAAATTCTTCCATACACATCAGGAAAATGGGTACAAATATTATGCGTATATAATACACAATTGCAGGGATTAAGCATATAATATGTGTACAAATCGCATATTTTTTTATGTATGCAAATTGTACATATATTATATGCTTAATCCCTGCAATTGTGTATTATATACGCATAATATTTGTACCCATTTTCCTGATGCACCCAGAATGGGCCATCAGTCGGCCTTGAATGAAAAAACAATCATGAATTCTTCAAGCCTAAAGGTATGACACAAATGCAAACTTGTCATACCTCAAAGTATGACAAGAATACAAACCAATCGTATGGCAAGTAGGTAACAATATATATATTGTTACCTACTGGCACAAAGTACATCAGGAAATTTTTCTGGCACAGATTTACGTAATTATTACACTATTTACGGCAGGCCCGTAATATTATGCAAATAAGCATGCAATTATTACATCAAGTGTAAATATTACATAATTTTTATGCAAATATTACAACTTTACATATTAAAATTTATGGACATAATATTGAGATGGGGAAAATTTCCTGATGTAATATTTTACCCAAATTTTTGGAAGCCAAATGATATGCAAGAAATATTGTGATTATTCTTGGAGTGAATTGAAAACGTGGTTCCAAAAGCATCGGATCAACATATTAAGAAATGTGTTAATATTAAACACTCTTTTCGTTATACTAATGCTTATATGAGTGGGTTTTGATAGAAAGGTAACACGAAATTTTTTAGGGGGTTTGTTGATCAAATAATGTTACACGTGTTTCAATACATAATTTTCACTTGCATATTTACTATTCCATAAAAAAAATCTTTTTCTCACAAAAATTCAAAATAAACAAACATTATAATAACTGATTGATTAATTTTATCTTACCTCACGAATTTACTGACAAAAAATTTTTTAAAAAACTAAAAAAACTAATCAAAAATTTCTTTTTTTTTCATTTATACTTTGAACTCTTTTAAAAAAAATACAAAAATACACATTAAAAAAAATGATATATCAATCAGTAATTGTTAAGCTTTTTAGTGGAATGAAACCACTTTGTTTATTCTTTCCTGCTGTAGCAAAAACCACGATATTCGATTTAAAACAAATAATATTTGGACGCTTATTGGTCGAACCTAAAAACCAAAAGCTCATCACAATATCTGGAATATGTTTAAA